ATGTCATCATGAAGATTTTTTGTTTCCTATTTTTTGTTCCCTCATTTCATCATCTCCAGCAGCAGCAGCAGCCGCAGGGACTACATCTCCCATCGGCCCCCGCGCGCTCCGCTTTCCACGCAGCCAAGAGCGGCGCGCGGGCATGTGAGTGCGCGTGCGTGTGCCGGAGAGGCGGAGAGTCAGCAGCGCCAGGAGGAGCCCACACCAACCGAAAACACACACACACACACATACACATAGACACACACACACTCAAAGAAAGCCATGAAGCCGCTGAGCTCAAACTAAACGTGGGATCTGTGCAGCTCCAGGACCCGGACTCGGGCTGAGACTGGGACTGGGACCGCCTGTCGAATCTAAAAAAAAAAAAGGGCTGTTGAATCCTCGGGAAAACACAGACACGCTCCCCAACCCACAGAACGATCCACAGCGAGTCCGACAGAAGAGGTGGGATAAACGCGGAGGCAGCGGCTGGATTTTCTGCGCGTAAAAAAAAACAAGCTCCGGGAACGCGCTGGAGCTGGATCCAAGTAAGTTGCAGGAAAATGCTTTTTTGGGGGGGGGGGGATTTTTTGCAACATGTCTCTTGTGCGTGTGCGTCTCGCCTCCCTGAATATGGGGACAGACTGAGGTGGCTGCTCCATTCTGTCTATACTGTGTTTAAACCCCCCTCCATAGGTGCAACAACTGTATCCCCTTGTATAGCAAACGGGGTGAGGCTTCTGACCAAAAAGACTTCTTAATTAATAGTCAAACCGCTATCGCTTCCTCAACCTTGGATTTTTTTTTACATGCACGCGTTTTTGGATAACTCGAATGAGCGGAAGGACGCAAAAGAAATGGGAAAAAAGGTGGGAATGGTGTAGCTCAGCGCCTCTGTGTATGCAACATATTCTGTATTATTCGCCAGTCTTTGCAAAGTAAAAGCCAGAAAGAAGACTGTTGCTGTGCGAGCGTTTCCTTTGGCGTGGCGAGATTTGGACGCGCTCCAGCGATCGTGGAGACTCGGTTGGTGTAGTAAGCAGTTATGACGAGAGTTGTAAATCAGAGGGCTATTGATTTTTAATGATTTTTTCGTTTCCTCGTCTGTTAAAAAAAGGATTCTGGCAACACAACAGCGTGTCCCCGTTGGCCCCTGTCTGTCACACACACTTTATTACACAGTCTCTATCAGAAGTGTGAGTCTGAGGAACTACTTTGATCATGTGTGTAGTTGCAGAATATGGATGACTTGCTTAAAGGAGACGTGTTCTGCAAAATCAACTTTTTCTGTCTGTTGACGCTAGAACTCCCGGAGCAGTCAACATGACGGCTTTCGCTTTGGAAGTGCAATTACTTCGCCCATGCATGTTTTTAGTCTTCATAACTTTGTCCGTAATGTTGGATCAATTACATTCCTTGTCGTTAGGCTTATCAAACGATCTCGTCCCTAGACTGGTCCTACTCTGGTTCAGAGCAATCTCAGCTTGAAGCAAACGCTTGAATAATTAAATGTGAATAACTGAATTGGAATTACAATAGTGTAAAAGTTGGGGATTTTTTTTATTCAATTTGATTCCGTTTATTTTTGTACTGCCCTAAATCACAACAGAAGTTATTTTGGAGGACATTACCCAAACCGTTGAATTCGCCAACACAGATCAGAGAATCAAACAGTTCGAACACAGGAAATGCAATGATTAAAAAAAACAGACCTGGAGTTGTTTTTAGATCCATCTGCGCTGATGTCAGGAACTTTTGGGACAAACCCGTAAATTTGCTGCTTGCGTCGAAAGCTCAGCCTTGTATAAGTATGATGTCATTGTACCACGATGATGTCACGCTGAATTAAATAACAACAGTATAGCTCATACATTTAGTTTTAGCCGTTTATCAGGAGTAATAAACGTCTTTTGCAATCACATGTCTGTGTTTGCAGCCAGTAATTTTCTAATTTTGAAAAAAAACAAAAAAAACAAAAGCAAACTATATCTCCCTCTAATGGAAGCATAGGAAGTTACAGGCGGTAAGAATTTTTTTGAAGAGTCTTGTTGTCTGATTACTTTAGCATTTTATCATTATAGCGTACAATGCATTATAACCAGAACAACTTTGCTCTTGCTGTTTTTGAGGTGTAGGGTAAATGCGTGTAGGGTACTTTTTCAGTAAATGTACTCTGAATATGCAAGGCAAGGCAAGTTTTTTGTATAGCAGAGTTAACACACAAGGCCCCTCAAAGTCTGAAAATAATTTAAATCATATTCAACACATTCAAATAATCAATAATAACTGTACATTCAAGATGGTGATGATGCATTCCTTCAGTTGTCGGCAGCTAAACACAAGTGTTGTTTACCTGGATTTCAACCTTGTCAGAGAAAAGGCCTGTCTCATATTTTCACGAAGACTGTGTCAAATTTTAGCGGCACGAATCTGAAATGCTTTCTCCACATGCTTTGTCCGGATTCTGGGCACCAGCAGGAGGCCAATCCCTGTGCTCCTCAGAGTCCCAGCAGAAGGCAAGTCCCTGTGCTCCTCAGAGTCCTAGCAGGAGGCCAGTCCCTGTGCTCCTCAGACATGTCATAGTACTATATGAAGCGAGGCCATGGAGAGACTTATAACAAACAGAGCTGCTTTAAAGTCTATTCTCTGAGCCACAAGAAGCAGAGACCTGAGAACTGGACTCATTTGCTCGCACCAAATCATACAAAAAATATTATATCTCAAAATATATAAATTTAAGAGTCTAGTGGCATTTATACAGACCAACAAGCACTGCTGTGAGATCATTTAGAGCATGGTGTCTCAGTGTAAAAAGACTGGATTGTTTTATTGAAAGTAATGCAGACATAGTTATTATAGTATACATATTTGCCAAAGCTCAAAACATGGATACTAACATTGTCACAACTGTTACTTTTCCTAACAGACGGTGCAAAAGCCAATGCCAATGTTTATTTTCACATATGCTTTCATCTTCAACACTGGCTGGATTCTTGGCAGGGGTCCTCTCTTGCCCATGGATCCCCCCTTCCTTCCTATGTGGCTTAAAATCCCAAACAGTCCACATCCTCTAAATCTGTAGTGTGAGAAGAAAGGGGGGAAAAATCACAAGAGGAAAAAAAGAGTCTCAAAGGGACAGTCTTCCTTCCTGCTCTTACATGTAAGCAGAGTGTGCAGTGAAGGAATAGGCCGACATGTGTAAAAATATCTCCAAAAGTACATCTGTGACGGGTTAGTGCCAGATGAGGACAGGGACTTGTCTCCTGCTTGGACTCTGAGGAACACAGGGACTGGTCTCCTGGACTCTAAGGTGCACAGGGACTGGTCTCCTGCGGGGACTCTGAGCAGCACACGGACTGGCCCAATGTTGGGACTCTGAGGAGCACAGGGACTGGTCTCCGGCTGGGACTCTGAGGAGCACAGGGACGGGTCTCCTGCGGGGACTCTGAGGAGAACAGGGACTTGTCTCCGGCTGGGACTCTGAGGAGCACAGGGACTGGCCCCCTGCTGGGACTCTGAGGAGCACAGGGACTGGCCCCCTGCTGGGACTCTGATGAGCACAGGGACTGGCCTCCTCCTGGTGCCAAGAGTCAGGACTAAACATGTGGAGAAAGCATTTCACATTAATGCCGCTAAAATCTGGAACAGTCTTCCTGAAAACATGAGACAGGCTTCTTCTCTGACAATGTCCAAATCCAGGCTGCAGACAACTGGACAATTTTACCTTCCCCCTTTTTAATTTTATGAGATTAGTTTTTTATTTAAATCCCTTCTGTGATTGTTTATTGTTTTGTTAGGCCCTTGTCGAGCTACTTTGTGTATGAACTGTGCGATACAAATAAACTTACCGTGCCTAGCATAGACCATACATCCTACACCCTCTCCTCACAAAAAGCTGAAGTACCTTTCTTGCAAACCTCAAATCCATCACAAATACATAACGGATCAAGTGAAAACCTCAAACAGGAAAGTACGCGAACGATAGCGTGGTTTTTTTTAAGATGAAAATGACGAAGAAGAAGACGCCATGTTGTGATCTCATACGTTCCAAACTATCACTTTCACTTTCTTGTTAGGCTAAAGTAAGGATCAATAAATCGACACAGGCCAATTCAAAGATGATTCGTACTTGGATATTGCCGCAGTCGGAGCAGAGTTGTTTTTTATTGTTAAAAATGTGTATGTAAAAAACAGACAGAGTGAGGCCTGGTTTCGTCGACTTATGGATTCGGGAAAGAAGTTTGAGATTAAGTTTATATGCCATTTGCAGTAAAACCAGATTGGAATACATGTGCAAAAGTCCCCACTGTGCACCAGACAAGTACATGAATAAAACACACCTTAAAAAGTACAGGAATAAAACAAGCAAAATACAAGTATAGGCATCAATGGTCGCTGTGGAATTGATCAGCAAAAAACAGTTTCATTTCAATTGCAAGATCATAAGTACGGGATATGGAGCGATAGCAGTGATCTCTGCCTAACTTGTCCGTCTTTCTGCTGCCTAATTACTTTTTGCTTCCAGTTTCCAGGGAGGGAGCCAGAGCCGGCGATGCCTCTGGAGTGACTGACGGTGCATTGGCAGCCTCCCGCGCTAATGTAATGGAAAGCCTGCGCTGTCGTCCCGGCTTTGTCTGAAATGCACCAGAATCTGCTCGTCTCTCCCCCATGGCTCCCGCTATCAGGCACTGGCTACTGTCTGCCAGGTAGTGCCCCGCCAGCCCCCACGCCATGCTAAACCCGCCCTACCCTAACGACAAGGAGCGCTCAGTTCTGCAAGTGGCGTGGAAAAAGTTGGTGGAAAATCTCCGGGCTCGATTTTGGGCTTTGACCTAGTTTCTGTCTCCTCCACGGAGCTTTGTCTGTCCGCGCCGCATTCTCACCCGGACCGAACGTAAACACGCCAGGACATAATGGATGTTCACTTTTATCCCCTGCCTTTAAAGCAGATGAACATGTAAAAAGAATTAAAGAAGGGCAGAATGAACACGGCCCTATGAAGATTGGAGTTTATCAAAATGGCTCAGACCAGTTTGCTGCAGGGAAAGCGCTTCTACTGCCGCGAGTGGGTGTTCCATAAGATCCAGCACTGCCTCCAGGAGAAGAGCAACAACCTGAGTGGATCCACTGGAATCAATCCCAATAAACAGCCCCCAGCGGCTCCCAGCGGGGGGCCGTCCTCCACCACTCCCAGCGCCCTCACCTCCGCTCTCCCCAGCACCAGGGGCGCCTCATGGGGGGTGCTTCTAGTCGGGGGTCCTGGCAGTGGGAAGACCGCTGTGTGCTCGGAGCTGCTGTGGCCCACGTCGGTCCAGCGCAACTTGGACCAGCACGGCCTGGCGTTCCACTTCTGCAGAGCGGACGACGCGGAGACGCTGTGTGTGGGGGGGTTTGTGCGGGGGCTGGTGGCTCAGATCTGCAGCAGTGGGATTCTGCCCGGATACCAGGAGAAGGTTCTGGAACCAGCAGCACAGAGCGCTCTGCAGCCGGGGGAGTGCGAGAGGAACCCCACCGAGGCTTTTAAGAGGTAAGGACGCACACAGACTCACACACAACACAGACTCACACACAACACAGACGCACACACAAACACGGACACACACACAGGCTGTGTTTTTAACTTGGATTTGAACAGAATTGGAGAAGCCTGTCTCACATTTTCCAGATTTTAGCTGCATAAATCTGAAATGCTGCCTTCCCATGTTTAGTTCTGATTCTGGGCACCAGCGGTCCATGAGACAGACATGGGATTGTCTCCCTGCAGACATGGGGAGAACAGACACGCATGTTCTCCTCATGTCTGCATAGGTTTCCTCTGGGGGCTCCGGTTTCCCCTACCACTAAAAAACATGTACAATAGGTAAAACGTCCAGCTCCGGTGGTCCTGACCAAGCTGAGAATCTGGAGACGCCCTAGTGGCATCAGGATGGGTCAAATGCAGCTGAATTTCCCTATAGGGATAAATAAAGTGCACCTTTACCTCAGAGTCCCAGCAGGAGGCCAGTCCCTGTGCTCCTCAGAGTCCGAGTTAGTTCATCTGGTATTAACGAATGGCCTTTGGTGCGAGGCCTTGGAGAGACCTGTAGAGTAGCAGAGCTGCTTTACAAACTATTCTCTGAGCCACAGGAAGCTTGTGCAGAGACCTGGACTGACGATCAGGATTGAAAAAAAATTGGTAATGGAAAAATTGTAATTGTGTTTCTAATGGCACTTGTCTATCTAAGTGAACAATTCATGCACTGTCATAACTGCGGTCGTGCACAATGCAGTATGTACACAATCAATGAGAGATCATGTGACCATCATATTTATTCATATACTCAGTTTGCAAACAGTTCCCCTGCGTTAAGAGCACAGCTTCAGGCGTGTCACTTCGACTCTGCACCACCCTCTCACAGATTCTCCTGCAGTTTGGGTCGACTCTATTAATGGCAAACAGACTGAAGCTGCTCCCCAGATGTGACCACAGACATCCACCAACATTAAGATTTATTTATGCAGAGAGAGTCAGTGGAAACGGCTCATAATAGCTACGTTTGGCTAATAACCATAGCTTTTGCGTTTGGTAGCGTTTCCATAGATCGTCTAATTGTCTTGCTGCGTGTCTCTTTGTCCTTCCAGTGGATTTTTTGGTGAGCGATTCTGGGGTTTGTCCTCAGCGTTTGATTCAATTAGCGTGCTGTAGTGCGGACAGACGCTTTCTATTTAAAGATGGAATCGTGAGACTCACACTTTTGACCCCATTCATTCCTAATTAGAATGATTGATGCCCTCGACTCATGCCTCGACCAGATGTGTTCAGCGATCAGAAGCATTGAGACATGTTTTATAGAATGGAAGCTTAATTCATTGCGTTGCTGTTACGACACACAAGAACTCTGTGACCCTTGTTTTCATAGCTTGGACTAGATCAAGGCTTCACTCGGGCCTCGCTGAGTTCTGCTTCAATACTGCTGTTGAATAAGTTTGCAGATCCAAGAAATACGTTGGATCGGGTTTTGGGGTGTTGATGTTAGCTGATATTCTGTTTGGGATTTCCAACTGATGTGACAAGGAGGTTCTAACAATGGAGTCTGTTGATAAAAAATTCCATCTTTTGTATTGCCCCCAAATAGGATCACTCAGGAAATGTGCAAACATGTTAAAAAGGTGAAAATATAGTTTTTTGTGCAATATGTATTAAGTACAATTGAATTATAAGTGACTATTGCAGTGTGAGTTTGATAGTTAAGTATTGTCAACTCATTTAGTAATCAATAAATCATTTTTGAACCTTCCCTAGACCTAAACTTACAGGGGAGAAGTTTATTAAGCTAGTTCTATATTGACTGCAGAATGAAAAGAAAATGTGTTTAAGTAATTTTAATCCAACAAACCATTGTGTAACAAGTCCTCCCTGAGAGTTTCTCCCGGGACATCACCAAATCCCGTATTCAGTGACCTTTCGGAAACAACAACAACAAATCAATTAATAAAAAATAAAAAAAAACAACAACTCTGATTTAAAGCCATAGTGAGCATATTAACTTGATACAAATCAGGTCTCTAAACTCTCCACTGTAATCCAAACAGTCATGGCTTGGTTTCAAAGTTGATAATAACAGTAATAATAATAGACTCATTCTTGGCAATGTGAAAGTATCTTGTTTAATGACAGTTTGGTACTTCACAGCCGTCCCACTGCGGCACCTGGAGCTCCCAGAGGTCTCCCATCACAGTACTAACCAGGCCCTGTCCTACTGAGCCTTTGAGGTTCACATGCAGGTGGCGCCACTATGATGAAAACTTGTAATAATATTGTGAATAGTTCTGAACAGGATGAATAACTGTTGGAAAACCTTAAATGGACTCGGGCTGTTTTTAGATTTGGGATTTTATGTTTTATAAAATGGTTGGAACACTCCAGGAACATATTATTTTGGTGAAATTGACAAAACCAACTGTGAAATTAACGGTGAATGCTTTCATAAGAAGATTTTACACGTTCTTTTTATAAAATATAGGATTTTTTTTGCCGGAATCTCTTTCAAATTGACATTGTCATGCAATTTTGATATCCACTATTTTTTTTTTAAAAACCCGTCATAAGGTCTTTAAAGGACAACTCACCCTCAAATCCACTTTTGTTTGCTGATAAACGATTTAAATGAGTGTCCAATAGTGTTGTCTACATATCCTGGTCATAGTTTTTTCACTTTGGTGCAAATTAGTTGAAAGTTAAACTTTCTGCCTAAAACCGTCTGTGAGGCGCCATCTGCTGGCGACCTGTATTACTACATTTGAATTTTGAATCTGGCGCCAACACTGGCACAGAAGTTGGACCTGACGTCTGCAAGTTGGACCTGACGTCAGCAGCCCCCCGCCCAGAGCAATGTAAACGGCCCAGTCTCGTTCACGCCCCCTTCAGTCCTCCAGGCTACGCCCATTTAGAGGAAGATTTGAACAGGAAATGTGAGTGACGTAAGCTCCGAGGAGCGGGGGTGAGAACCACTTTAATGGCACTGATTTTCCTCTCACAGTCACCATCCTTGTAGAAAATATCTGTGAAAATGAACATTTCAATACTTTTTATGCATCCCTGCACATGCACACGCTAAAGAGTAAAAAAATAAACAATTCTCACTTCATATTAACTTGATACAAATCAGGTCTCTAAACTCTCCACTGTAATCCAAACAGTCATGGCTTGGTTTCAAAGTTGATAATAACAGTAATAATAATAGACTCATTCTTGGCAATGTGAAAGTATCTTGTTTAATGACAGTTTGGTACTTCACAGCCGTCCCACTGCGGCACCTGGAGCTCCCAGAGGTCTCCCATCACAGTACTAACCAGGCCCTGTCCTACTGAGCCTTTGAGGTTCACATGCAGGTGGCGCCACTATGATGAAAACTTGTAATAATATTGTGAATAGTTCTGAACAGGATGAATAACTGTTGGAAAACCTTAAATGGACTCGGGCTGTTTTTAGATTTGGGATTTTATGTTTTATAAAATGGTTGGAACACTCCAGGAACATATTATTTTGGTGAAATTGACAAAACCAACTGTGAAATTAACGGTGAATGCTTTCATAAGAAGATTTTAGCTCCTGTACCTCTGTAAATTTCTCCTGTGTGAGGTTGATAAAGTCTATCTTATCTTATCTTATCTTATCTACAAACCTACTGTTGAATATGAGACAAGATGCGGATCGGTCTGGGATTGGGTCACACACAGACAGAAGATTTTTTATTGATGTTACAAAGGCAATACGAACAGAGTTTTGCTGTATGCATGTGATATTATACCGCAAAGGAATCAGGACGGTCCAATCAGCAGATAACCAAAACATCAAGTGGAAAGTTTCTGGTTTGTGCTCACTGGGTTATGAGGAGTTCAGCTTTAACTACAGTTGCTTGAAAAGTGTTGTAAAATATCCTCTACCAAACACTGTGGGTTTGTAGTTTGCAAATAACTTACCTTTGTCTTAAACATTTGCTTATTTGTGATGAGTCTTTCTATGTCAGAGGTCAATATGAAAGGATAAGAAAGGCTTAAGGAGGTTTGAGTGTGAATTGGGATGCAGCCCTGGTCCCTCTGCTGTCACCTCCAGCAGCACATTTCTCCGTGCACATAGGTGTTGCAAATGCTGGAGCTCCCCCTCCCCCTCACCTCCTGACCCTGGCCTGCCCCTCCCCCTCCCCTCCTTTATATTTTACTGTTCAGGTCTTGGCCCAGAGCCCCCCCCCCGCTCCTGGCGGGTGTGTTGGTTTTGCCTCCCGGTGCGACATACTGTGGAGCTGCCACTGCCGCAAATATATGACGCTGCAGTTTTGTGTGTTTGCAATTAGCAAAACCTTTTTATTGTCATTTTAAGGGCTCGTATTAGGCAAAAACATGTTTAGAATCAGATCTTGAGTTATTTTTAGCTCCTTCCACACAAGAACCACCCCTTCTGTTTAAATTCTCCTCTCTCCAACTTGGTATTTTCACACTAAAAACATGTACTTTTTGACCCGTGTTGACCCGGAAAACAGTGAGAAACAGTTTTTGCAATGGACTAGAAAACAATTTGGTTTTATTGTTGTCTTTGTATTTTATTATTTTGGTCTGAATGTTCCTCAGCAAAAAGGTTAGATTGTGAGGCGGGTTGAATGCTGAGTTGTTTCGACACACCAGCCCGTGTCTCTCAGCGTTTGAGGAAGAGGTTTTGGCCAAAGCACCATGTTCTTGCTCATTGGGAAGGAGTGAAAGAGTGTTTGATGAATAGCTTTTTTCTGCCTTATAAAACAAAAATATTACCTAAAACGTTTTTCTTTATTCCATGTCTTTGCCGTCACTACAGCACTGCTTCTAAGGGACTAGACCCAGACTCGGCTCAGAAATGTAACCCATGTTTGTCCAATCCTGAAAACAGAGCAAAGACATCTCACAACATCTTATTACACTGTGCTTATTATTGTCACATTTTCGGGCCCGATCTCAAGTGGATTTATAAAAACAATTTTCCATTGGAACATCTAGCTTTTGCTGTTTTTCAAGAGCTTTA